TTATTTCAATTACAATGCGACCAAAAATCGTAATTACAGTTAATTTAAAATTAATTAAGTTTTTAAGACCAGAATGAAGTGTCTTTTTAGAAAAGTTGTGATTTCGAATTATTGGGGAATGGTGTCAAATTGTCTATTATTTTCATACAGTCCACTCTTTTCATTTATTAACTTCCACTACACTCATTATCGAAGTAACATATCAATATGTTTCCCTTAGCCGCGCGCACGCGCCGCGCGCCGCCGGCCGGCGAGCCGGGCGCAAGAGACATATCTGACCAGCTGCCGTTCTTGGAGTACGAGCTGCATAAACTGCTGCTGGCCAAGCTGAGGATGCAGGTAATTCATCATCATCATCATTTCAGCCATAGGACGTCCACTGCTGAACATAGGCCTCCCCCAATGCTTTCCACGTTGATCGATTGGTAGCGGCCTGCGTCCAGCGCTTCCCTGCTACCTTTACGATGTCATCGTTCCACCTTGTAGGTGGACGTCACACGCTGCGTTTTCCGGTACGTAAACGTATGCAGGTAATTAATATTAGAAAATAGAATAGAGCCATCAACATTATCAGGTCATTAGTCTCCACTGCAGGAGAGGAGCATAACCCTCTAATTAAAAAAAAAACAGGATTAAAAAATAACGTCTAGCTTCGGTATTTCACAAGCTACTGCTTGCTTAGCTCAGGATACATACAGGTACTTTGATCATATACCGTCACCTGATCATTATCAGAAACACGACTTACTCAAAACTAGAAATGACCAGATCCACCTAGTGGTGGCTAGAGCTTAGTAGCTCAAGGGAGAAGTACTATAGTACAGGGGACAGAATAGAATAGAATAATCATCAGGCCCGTCAGTGAGCCAGACGCAAGAGAAATATCTGACCAACTGCCGTTTTTGGAGTATGAGCTGCATAAACTGCTGCTGGCCAAGCTGAGGATGCAGGTAATTAATATTAGAAAATAGAATAGAGCCATCAACATTATCAGGTCACTAGCGGCCGCCCGCGACTTCGTACGCGTGGATCCCGTTTTACCCCCTTCATCTATCTTACGCGGTTTAGATTTTTTCATACAAATGTTTTTTCCCGCTAACTCCCGTTTCCGTGGGAATTTTGCAATATCCTGTTGTAACTAAGCTTTAAGTTTACTAAGGTACCTGCATGCCAAATTTCAAGCGTCTAACTTAAGCGGTTTACATTTTTCATACAAAAGGATTTTCCCGCTAACTCCCGTTCCCGTGGGAATTTCGGGAATTCCTTTCTTAGTGCACCTCTACGGTACCTAAGCTACGTCCCTTCCAAATTTCAAGTGCCTACGTTTAGCCGTTTAGGCTGTGCGTTGATATGTCAGTGAGTCAGTCAGTTTCTCCTTTTATATATTTAGATTAGTATCCACTGCAGGAGAGGAGCATAACCCTCTCTAATTAAAAAAAAAACAGAATTCAATTATAACGCCTAGCTTAGGTATTTCACAAGCTACTGATTGCTTAGCTCAGGATACATACAGGTACTTTGATCATATATCGTCACCTGATCATTAACAGAAACACGACTTATTCTAATTTACTAGAAATGACCTTGGCTCAGTAGCTCAAGGAAGAAGTACTATAAGTACAGGGGATAGAATAGAATAGAATAATCATCAGGCCCGTCAGTGAGCCAGGCGCAAGAGAAATATCTGACCAACTGCCGTTTTTGGAGTACGAGCTGCATAAACTGCTGCTGGCCAAGCTGAGGATGCAGGTAATTAATATTAGGAAATAGAATAGAGCCATCAACATTATCAGGTCATTAGTCTCCACTGCAGGAGAGGAGCATAACCCTCTCTAATTTGTCAGGACTACGGAACTAAAAAAAAAACAGAATTCAAAAATAACGTCTAGCTTAGGTATTTCACAAGCTACTACTTGCTTAGCTCAGGATACATTCAGGTACTTTGATCATAATATGATATACAGGGTGGAATTTTGTAATGCCACCTGGAAGGAAAGTACTCTTAATACTGTAGATGGAAAATTTTACTCAAAGGAAACATTCCTTAATTTAGGAAAAGAAATAGAACTGCATTCAAAGATTTCTAAAGTCTGGTTGCGAAGCACGTAGAATTTTGTCCAATAACCCCAAGCTACCTATCCTTATCGCTCGCGCGTAATTATATTGCTGTCGCGACTGTGCGACGGGCGCCCGCAGTGAGTGTGCGAGCGCAACAGCAACATAATTACGCGCGAGCGATAAGGATGGGTAGCTTGGGGTCATTGGACAAAATTCTACGTGCTCACAGACCGGGCTTTAGACTAAAAGCTGTAACTAAAATTGTTTGTTCCAGGGTGCGAACGCGCTATTCAACCTCCAAACACAAATCGCGATCGGCGAGCGCTGCGTCATGGCACTCGCTAGCGGCACCGCCGTCCGACTTACGGCGCTGCCGCCGCCAGCGCCGCCTAGGATCAAGGTAAACTAACTGCAAAAAGAGCTCAAGTAAACCCCACAAGAGTTTCAAAAAATACCATAGAATGCCTAATCTATACTAATACTAGCTTTCGGCCCGCGGCTTCGCCCGCGTGGAATATCGTTTGTTAAATTTTCCTGAATTTTCTTTGCTATAAACCTCACGGAGCCCGAGACCTTTCCAACGAATGCAAAACCGTGGAAATCGGTTCGTGCGTTCTGGAGTTATAGCGTCAGGAAGGAAAACCCGACTTATTTTTATATAGTAGATTATAAATGCGAAAGTAACTGTCTGTCTCACTTTCACGCCTAAACCACTGAACCGATTTTGATGAAATTTGGCATAGAGATAGTTTGAGTACCCGGAAAGGACATAGGATAGTTTATATCCCGGTTTTTGAAACAAGGACGAGCGCGATAAAGTTTTTCTGTGACAGACAAAATTCCACGCGGGCGAAGCCGCGGGCGGAAAGCTAGTTCACAAATATTTGAATCTCCTGAAGTCACTTATTACATAGGTACGCATTGTTGCGTCACATGACGTCATGTTCATTTAATTCGATACTGACTTTTATCCCGATTCCAGTACCATTTTAAGCATCTCCTAGTTACACTATTAAATAATTTATTTTGTTACAGGCATCTGAAAATGACAAGGAAGCGTTAGAAATACAAAAAGCATTATGGGACTCGTTCACAGCTAACAAAACAGCAAATGGATTCGACACGGGTGAGTTTTTGGTGTACACGTTTTAGAAATATATGTATTTCTACATATATTTCTAAAACGTGTACACCAAACGTGGGGCTATTTTATATTCTCTTGAGTTGAACGTCCCTTCCTTTCTTGAAAGACTTATCAAAAGAGTTCACTAAGGCCCAGAACAGACGGTGATCCGCAACTGCAACGAACTTTCTGATGATTCTGATGAATGAAACTGAAAGTTTCAAACTGGTCGCGTCATGTGTGGTCTCTCAACGGACACTATGGCAGAAACTTAGATGCAACTCAAAAGTAACTAGCAGTTGCAGTTTCGATGCAGTTGCGTTTCACCGTCTGTTCTGGGCCTTAAAGTCAACTTTGTTTGTATGTCATTTAAAAAAAATAAAAGTACAAAAGCTCGTCTCTCCCGTAATGAGTTTTTCTTGTCTATATTCAGGACAACAAACAATAGGGATGTTTCCTGGGTCAAAATGCAAGTTTTAATTAGTCCGTCAGTTAACTTATCAAAAAATAGTCTACACGTATTTTTCACTTTTTCAAAGTAATGAAAAAAAGAGATAAAGCGCGCCAAAGTTCATAAGAAGAGGCCCGTGACGTCAATGAGTGCATAAAAGTGCCGCACTTTGTGACGTCGCGCGGAACTTCAACGCACCATAACTATGTAATTATTTGTTAGATTGACAAATAAAAACATAGGTGTCCAATATTTTTTGATATTAAACATGACGGACTAAACAATTTTTTTAGGAAACTAGCCTATTTCTGCAAATAGGCTTTTACAAAGCGCTTTTGTCTTTGTAGGCGGTCCAGAACACAGCACGAACGGTGCACTACCGGAGATCGAGGGTGAGGAGCCGCCCGCGTTAGACCTATGTGCGGACAAAGACGCCTGCGTATTGGAGCTTGATGAGGCTGAGGATGTGAGTAACATCATCATCATCATCCACTGCTGAACATAGGCCTCCCCCAATGATTTCCACATCGCACGGTTTGTAGGAAAACAATGATATGGTCATACCACCTAACCTTTGTATAAATAAATTGCGAGCCATTTTGAACTTTATTGTCTTAGAGTAGGCGCACACCGTTGATTTTTAGTTGGCCGATAGTTGTGCCCAATTTTAAATTGTATGAAGAATCGGCCAAATCGAATCGGCGTAGTGTGCGCACTCCCATACATGCCCTGATCAACTGCCCGACTAAACTATCGGCCGACGAAATATCAACGGTATGCGCCTACTTTTACAGTTTTAGTGCGAAATGTCACGTAGCTAATTTTACA